CCAGGCCCTGCCCTCCGCCCCACGCACCTCTGGCTCCCGCTGGAAGATGACAACCCGGCCACCCTTGTCGCCCGTGGCCAGCAGCTCTCCCGTGTGGTTGAACTCGACAGTGGAGATGACATCGGCTGGGGGGGGGAAGGGGAGAGACAGGAAGGCGAGGCTCATTAGGACCCAGTCCCATGCTGTTCAACACATCTGGGCCCACCCCACCCCACCCAGAGGCTCTGCACCCCCAAGTGGGCCCCACCAGGCAGCAGGAGCCTGAGGGGTGGGGAGACACCTGCCCCCTCCTCCCCGCTGGCCACAGGGCAGAGGCCTGTTCACTCTGGCTCCTTCCTGCCTCTTCCTCCTCCCCTCCTGCCTCCTGCCTCCTGCCTCCTGCCCCTCCCTTCCTGCCTCCTCCTCCCCTCCTGCCTCCTGCCTCCTGCTCCTCCCAGAAGCAGTTTGAGGGTTCCCTCCTGTGCCCGCCAGGTGACTGGGATGCAAACCTGACACTCACTAGCCCAATTCTGGGGGCCACTGAGACCAACTATACCCCTTCCTGCCCCCCCACTGAGCTCCCCTGGATGGGGCCCCTGTGACCCTCACATTCCTGGTGGGGACTCGTAGGCACCGTGGATCTACTTTCAACAACCCCAGATCAGACCACGCCTCCGGGCCCCACCCTCCACTCTGTTCCCCCACAGCTTCCCGGGCGATGGGCCACCTGAGTCATGGCGTGTCTGCTCAAAACCCTCCACTGGTCCCCAAACCGAATCCTGATCCTCATCCCTCCAACCCCCCTCCTCTGCGCAGCCCCCACTCTCGGCGATGGCAGCTCCGTCCTCTGCTGGCCGGGCCTGACTCTCTCTCCCGCTCACGACCTCCGTCCCCTCTCCCCTCATCCCACTGGCTCAGTCTTCATGCCCAATTCCACCCCCTTCTCCGCCTGTCCCCTGTGCAGGCCTACAGCTGCCTCCCAGGGCTCCCCTGGCCCCGCCCTGCCCGCTGGGCTAGCCTCGGCAGGGAGGGCAGCGAGAGGAGCCCGCACCACAGCCTCAACGACCCCATCATGTCAGAGGAAAGCAAACGTCTCGGAGCCTGAAGCGGTTTGTGACCTGCAATCCCCGAGGCAGCCCACATCAGGAGCCCAATCTCCCCGCTCCTGCCCCTGAGGGAACCCAGCATTGCTGCCCCCACCCTGACCCTGGGCTGGGCCCTGTGGTTTGCTTGGGCCTGCGGGACACCAGCAGACAGGCCACCAAGCTGGGCCTGGGCCACCGCCCGGAGAAGGACCTGCCCGGAGAAGGACCTGCCCAGATGGCCCGAGCCCATCGGTCCCGGAGCGGGGGGCGGGGGGGGGGCAGGAGGAGGAGGACGGGACGAGTGTGCGAGCCCCAGCCAAGTGCCCAGGCAGGGCCCCAGCCCAACAAGCCCCATCAGCAGAATCAGCAGATACGTGATGGCAAATAGTCAGTGTTGAATGCCGGGGAGCGCCCTGTTTTTAACTCGGTAAAGAGTAAGGGACGCCCTCTCTCCCAGCCCCGCCTCCCTCCACCCCCCATTCCTGACAGCTCCACTCCCATGCGGGCTCCCTCCTGTCTCCACAGCTGCTCTCAGCCTGGAGGGCTTTCCCCTTTGTTAGTCAATAATGCGTTTCTCTTGTCCCGTGGCCGTCAGAGGCCCCGAGGCGCAGGTAACCGCTTTGGCAGGAAAGAAACCAGGAGGAAGAGGCGTTTTGGGAGCAGATGACGCGGAACGGATGCATCGGTCAAGAGGAATGCACCCTGCACTCAACTTACACAGACAACACAGGGAGCAGCTCCTGGGAAGCACGCACTGAGGTGGGCGTGGGGTGCGGTCAGGCCCCGGTGCTGGCACTGCCCCCTTCCC